GATCTGTTGTTTCCGGGTCGTATACGTAAATCCAGGCCTCACCTCATTTCCTTTCACAAATAAAATTTAGTGAAAATCACACATTTTAAAAATAGAAAAAAAATGTTTTGCTCCGTACGCAAACATCTATAGTCGATTTTGTTCTTCTTCGTGTAGTTTTCGCGATACTGATGATCTCTCATCTACTTCTGCGCACATTTGACGTGCTCTTTACTCTGTTACAAATGAATTAGAAATAATATGAAAAAAATTGTATTAAAACCTTATCGTCAATTAAGAACATCGTACCAAACAAATCTAGCTAAACATTGGCCCGAACATGAAAGTGATCCTGACAAGTTTTGTTGTAGACGTAAATCAAGGCATATTTTTTCCAAGTTTAAGCTTCTTCTATTAATTTTTGCGACTGTGGAAATTTGCCAATTTTGTGGATCAAGAAGGAGGGCACATTTTGGTAGGAATAGTATGTTGTTGTTTTGCACACATGTTTGCTGAATTTGTTACTGATAATAAAAATGAGCGATCTGCACGCAGGTTGCGCTATCGTCGTATTTGCACGAAGTGGATTATGAAGTGAATGATTTCTATTCGTTAGTAAAATTAGGCAATATCAAACCGCAAAATATTGCATTTTGCAATAGGTGAAAGGGTAGCATTCATTTTAATTTTTGACAAAGAATCGACGAGCTACATGTAGTTTCTATTCCTTGAAGAAATGCTATTATAACTATATTTTGAATAATAATTGTGCTCCTATTTTTGTTGGTAGTTGAAAACAACTTTCGGAATTGAAGCAAGAAGACTTCCTTCCAGTAAAATTGACGTTATAGCAGTTGGCGTAAATTGGTACCGCAATGCGGTCTCCAATTATCTAGGAGCCCTTGACAATTTCGGTTGCATTGAATGCATCCCAACCGTGGATCAGAGGACCCAACGGACTATTCGACATATAGCAACTAATGAAAATCTGAGTTAAGAATAAAAATAGAATTAGACCTAAGTGTAACATGACAGCGTATGCAGCAGCTCCTTAATAGGACTTAGATATGAACATAAAATTGCCAAACCACGCTTAACCCAATACTCTCGACTAACATGCTACAGGCACATTCACGGTGGTAGATCGGTTATGGTATGGGCTGCATTTGCAACACGAGGAAAGCGCAAAATAAGCTTTGCACCTAGCAAAATGAACGAGAACGCATATGTTGTTAGAGAATAGTTCCGTGGACTATGCTAGGGAATTATATGGTTATAATTGGACGTTCCAAGAAAACAACGTTATTTTCTTTGACATAATGTGGGGTGGTCCAACGATGAGCCCTCATCTCCTCTGGGATTACTTTCAGGCAAGATATTTTCAGTATTTCATGCTTAAGGAACTGAAACTTGAATCAATGGAAGAAGATTGGTCCTACCGCTTTGAGAATCGTGGTGTGTCTTATGGCAAGCAATAATAAGTCGTTATTCATAAGGGCAACACAATTATTACGTAAATTACATAATAGTATGGTTTAAAAAAGGAATTAATATTAAGCTCCATTTTTTCATGTAATTCACATGTAATTATTGTGAATGTTTTTTTTTTTGCTATAAAAAAAAATTTAAAAATAAACATAAACAAAACAGAATTAAGCAAGAAATGAAAAAAAAAAAAAAAAAATTATTCTTTATGCTAATACTTAAAACAATACATTCTATATAAAAATAATTGGCAGGAGTATAATAGATTTTTGTCAACACGTTTGCAGCATCCAAAAATAAAGTTCAGAGATTCTATAATGTACATATATTATTGATCAGCATGAAATTCTAAATGGATTTAGGTATGTTTGCTCACCCGCTTATCTCTTCACGTTTGTCCGCATCTCCTGCTATATGTGTTTGATATAAACATTCTGTATATTTTCGAGCAGTGCATGCAAGGTAACATTATGTGTTGCATACTGTTTTAAACAGTCTTATTGTTTTTTTCTATTTATCTCTTTCTATTTATTTCCTAGTTTTGGTATTTAAATTTTTTGCTATAAATTTATCTTTACATGTTAAATTTTTTATTAATAAGTCAACGTTTTTTAGCAATGAACAAAAATTCGCTTTTTCCAAAAAACCAACAGTCAACAATGGATTTTTTGCCAAAAAAGTTACTTTTACAGCATATAAATTTTACTAACACGATCCTTTCCAAAAATAATTAAACAGTTGAACAGTTACCTAAGAACAAGAGGAACAAAAAAGTCAATTACGGCAAATATAGTTAATATCGGATAACGAGATAGTTATATGCTCTAAGAGCGGAGAGAAGAGCAAGCACACTTCAAACTCATTTTCTCCACACTCACTCCAATGACCCTAAAGTAAAGATGCCCAGGACGGCAAAAGTGCATTTGTGTAGAATGAGACAAAGGTTATTTGTAACTGGAAAGAATAATTTTGTCTTACAAATGTATTCTTGTCAATCATTGACATATGTTTTTAATAGTCTCCTAATGTTTCTTGCTCACATTGCCCACAGCATCTTTCGTTACACGCACAGCTCTTCTAATGACTCAAAATTTTATAAGCAGATCGTTTTTTGACATTAGAACTAGATCATCCTTCTGTGCGGTTTTGCCCACATTAGCCTGTGCTGTTATTCTTATAAATACTATTTAGACCATCTTTGCTAAAATATTGTGGGATAACGATTACCCTTTTTGATCTGTGTAAATAAGACATGTATTCGCTTTCTTTATTCGTTTTGGGAACGAGTGAAGCACCAATCAAAAAATCGTCTGGCGTTAAATTTGACCGCACATAATTTTGAAAATCACTGCACTTTCGATAATTGCAGTCGCTAAAATTTAAATGACTTAAAAAACTTAATTTTTCATCTTCTCCAAGTTTCCGTTCGCCTATAAAGTTAGTAACATCTAGGAACAAATCCTGTGAGAGCGGCTACAAAGGCCTTAACTTTCAAATCAAGTACTACTTTCATATGTGCTCCTTTCATGCAATAACCTATGAATATTGCAATAAAAGATTTCGTGGTACGAACGCCTCTCAACTTATATATAGTTGACATTGACAAAAATTGACGTCTGATGTAGTAAATGGTAAGTAGGTCTTCTCTTATTAGGTAAAAATGCGAAGAGTTGCTAGCCACGTTCGGGTATGAAATATCCAAAGCTGTTACACAACATCTACTAGTGCCTAGACTCACTCCAGCATGAAAATATTTCATTTGTAATTACCTGGCATATGATATCACGAGCCTACGTCCATGACGCAAAATGGTTTGTGTGTGGGGCAGCAGTGAAACAATTTCTACGATTTCCAGAAACATACTTAAACCTCTCAATATGCTATTTGATCGCAGTTCAAGATTTTTTGATGTACGCTGTATTTCTTCTTAAGAATAGTTTAATTGCAGAACATGAGCAGTTCGCGTTAATGTGATGACCAAATGCTACGAGTTTTAGTGTTCCAGGCAGATGTCTTCTTTAAATGTCTACAGAAATTTGCAAATTTTCTTAATGTGTAATTACAGCCACTTCAATGCGGTTCCTATGAGACGTCTCTCTTTGTTCGCTTCTGATTTTTTACTTCGTACTTTATTAGATGACATTTTTGAACATGTGGGTTCCAAATTTTTAGGTCTTGTAAACCATATTAAATTAGGTAAGGCTTTAAATATTATTTCTGTCGGATTCTTGGTTGATGGCACATGACTAAAAATCTTCTCTATCTTCTTGAACAAAGGTTGCTCGATTAACCCTAAACGTCTTTCAATATTCATTTAAAGATTCAAAGAATGAACATACTTTTACATATCCTACTTTGCAAATCAGCTTATGTTTCTCTAATCTCCACGTTGTATTCTTCAAAATTCATGCTCGCCGATGGTCTTGCTTTTTTCATGCATTAGTCGGGAATGTGCAAAGTTGTTGTTGCCGATATCTAGATTCCTATTTTGTTTGCTCAGCTTGGTTTGTTAAGTTTGAGTTCACTTACATAAGTGTTTTTAGTCGACATACTTTAGTCTTTTTTTTTCTACTGGGGCTCGGCATAATATTGCTTGATAATGCGTGTTGTCTTCCATTACGCATGCCTGAAGAAACATTTTGTACATTTACAACTACAATCAAACAGCATTCTTGGTAGTTGACGATTGAGGCGGCAAAACATTTTAATGCGATGAAGAAACTTATTGAGTGATATAATCTATGATTCATTTTAGAGGCTGTTTTCGTTTTGGTTTTTTTTTCCTAAATAATGAGCTTCAAATTGTACATTTTTTGGTTTGGAGTTTTCACAAACAAGCTAGGTAAATATATTTGGATTTTAATAAAACGATTAATTCTAAATAAAATAAAGAAGTTGTAATATTTGTACATATGTTTTCCGTATTAGGTATATATTGCGCACTTTTATTGACTACTTTTGTACTGCATGTACGTGACGTGGCTGACAAGTTTCCGGTAGCGTGGGCGCGCAGTACTTATTTGACAATTGTTTTTCTGAGTAGAGTTGAGCGTTTCCCTGAAGATGGGAAAAATGAATATCGGGCTGTCATCAAATAATATATAGTTAGAAGGCAGTACAGTTGCACAAATTAGAGGCGTATGTGTGTACGGGTACTCCGTACGATCTGTTGCCGTGGGAGCATTTTGGGTAGCTGAATTGGAATATGGCCGTGTAGTAGCTTGAGTGGCGATGGAAAACCTCTGACACTGTTCAAGTTTAGGCGGAAGAGTGCTGACTGCACGTTAGCTGCCGTGTTTAGTCACATTGAAGCTAACATAATGCGTCATAAATCGATGACTGTGATAGCAAAATTGGATGAATCGAAGTCCCATTTACTGTCATCCATTTATTTCTACGAAAATTAATTTTTGCTAGAAAATAACACATGCTCCCTTTCTTTCTGAAATTCAATAAAAATGTTGTGAAGCTTAGTACAAATGAATGAACTAATTGCATATAATAACGAGCTTTTCTCTTAATCTTTGGGTTCTTAGGTCCATTAACGATACGACTCCACGCATTGGCGGTGGCCTTGGTCCACCACAATCTCAGAATATGCAGCAACAACAACAACAACAGCAACAACACTTACATCAACAGCAGATGCAACAACACCACCATCATCATCAACAATTGCATCAACAACAGCAGCATCACCATCAGCAGCAGCAACAACAACAGCAGTCATCGCGTTCGGCAGCTAGTCCACTTTCACCACCTCGCCCCGGACCCGGTTCAGCTGCTGCTGCTAACACATATGCCAAATTTGCCGATGTTAACCCAGTCCGGGAGGCCCCGCAACGTTTTATATTGCAAAGTGCTTATAGCATTGGGCCAGGTGCCCAATATCGGGAAAGTCCATACACAAGGATACCTCCAATGCCACCAGTGCAAGATTATCATCGGGTGGCTGCTGCTGCATTGGCAGCTGCAAATAGTGCACCAGGTAGCGGGGGGGTGGTTCAAATGCCAGCAACTTCTAATGTTAACATCAGTGCCCCACACGGCATTGAAGCGTTGCATTTTGCACACCCGTCTCCCGGCCACCAGGCGTCGTCATCTGGAGGAGCACAGTTGCTTAACAACGCGCCAAGCGGAGGAGCCGCTGTGTCGAACGCTAATTCCCCGCATAATACATCCAACGTCCCGCCTGCTGGAAATAGTAATTCTTGTGTTACAAGTAGTATAATGACAGCTGGAGGAAAACGCATTTTGCTCAATACAACGCATCGCCAACAACCCCCGTATTCCAATGAGTATTTAAAAAACGTTGCTGTGCCGGTAACGGCTACTGTCTCAGTGAATCGTCATGGCCAGACTCAAGCTCCACCTGATCCGGGTGGACAACCACCTTACAAAAAAATGCGGCTAAGCGATGCGAATAACTCCGCAACAAACAACCTGCCACCACATCAAGTAACAAATGTCCAATCTTCTACACCTCAGCAGCAGCAGCAACGGCAACCGTCACCAGTTACCGCGCAAACTCCTAATGTAGTGCGTACGTCTGGTCATGGACATGGACAGATTTTACCGCCTCATACGCATTTATCGGCATTGCCACCGTCCCATATCCCTCAGCATCAACAACACGTGCCACCACCACCTCAATCGGTGACAATGCAGCAACTTAAAGTTGAAACACAATCTTTGCATATGCCAGTGGTAGTGACACCACCTGTGAATCGTGTAGCTGCTTCAGTTCCAATTAGCAGCGTCATTAATGTAGCTGCAGCCACCACAGCTACAACAAACTCCCCCTCAATATCAGTTTCAGTGACAACGACCATTAATTCAACTTCTTCTTCAACAGAGGCATATCATCCACAGGTTGAAGCTATTTCGCCCACGTTACCAATTGATAGTGCGGAGGAACGTGGTCGCACTGCAAAAGAAGACCTATTAATGCAAATTCAAAAAGTAGATACTGAAATAACCAGCGCTGATAATGCTTTGGATGCTTTACGAACAAAGGAAAAGAATTTGATGGATGTGGCAGCGGCTGCAAAGCAGCAGAAGGAAATGGCAGCGGCTGCGAAGAAGCAGGCCGAAACTGAGGCAGAAACCGATGCCCAAAATTTTTGGCGATCCCAGACATTGGCTCAAAAAATCTATTTGGCGAATCAAAAAACGGCAGCCGCTCAACATTCCATACTCGACAATTGTGGGGAACGCTACTTACTTCCGCTGTACAATCAGCCTTTAGATGTAGATCATTTGACGATTGTGATACAACGTCATCAGACTATCATCAAAATGCCTCTTTTAGATCATTTACGCAAAATCAAGAACGAGCGTTGGATTCATCATACAAAGTTGGTGGAAACATATGCTCAGTTGTCGACTGAGTGGCAGAAACGTGTCGATAAGGCCGAAGGCAGTGCAAAGCGTAAGACACGCGAATCTAAAAACCGCGAGTTTTTTGAGAAGGTTTTTACCGAACTGCGCAAGCAACGCGAGGATAAAGAGCGTTTTAATCGGGTTGGATCACGTATCAAATCTGAAGCAGACTATGAGGAGATTATGGACGGCTTGCAAGAACAAGCTATGGAAGTAAGAAAGATGCGTTCCTATGCTATAATTCCTCCGCTGATGTTCAATACTTATCAAAGACGATGTCTCTACCACAATGAAAACGGTGCCGTCAAGGACATGGTAGCTGTACATAAAGAACGTGCTGTACTCAATGTGTGGACAGCTGGAGAAAAGGAAATTTTTAAAGAAAAATTCTTGCAACATCCTAAAAATTTTGGTGCGATAGCGGCTAGTTTGGACCGCAAATCGGCTCAAGACTGCGTGCGCTACTACTACCTCAGCAAAAAGACAGAAAATTATAAGCAGTTACTTAGAAAATCACGGCAGAGAACTCGTGCTTCTAAAACGCTCCAAAAGACGCAGCAACAACCAACACAGTGTATTATTGACTCCTTAACTACGGGAGTAACAACCCGATTGCAACGTGAACAGCAACAAAAGACAGGAGGCCGTTCTGCAGCAGCCGAACGTGAACGTGAAAGGGCGGAGCGAGCGGCAGAACGAGAGAAGACTGTAGAAAAGGCAGTTACAGAAACAACCAAGGCAGTGACAACAACAACAATTAAAACCATAAAAATAGAAGCAGTAAGTGTAACAACGGTGACTTCTGCAACAACGGTAAGTTCAAATATTGAAACTCCTGCGACTATGTCGGCGGACGATTTATTCGCTGCAGCAGCAGATACATCGCAGATATCGAATGGAGGTAAGAATGTTTCGATGCCAAATTCTTCTAATATTACTACGCCTACTTGTATGTCAGCTGACAAAAGTCAAGCTGAAAAGCTTTCAACGGCAATAGAATTGCATAATGGAACAAACTTAACAGAACAAGAAAATAATACAAAAGTGAGCTCAACAGAATGTATGAGCAATGGAAGCAACAAGGCAAAATTTGAAAATAAAGTGCCTGATAACTATGATAATAAAAAATCGACGAATGCTTTGAGTGTGTCTCCTGAAAAATCAAAAGAGAAAATATCTGTGGCTTCTTCTGGTGCCACTACGTCAGTTAATTCTAACACTGTTGCTCCTCAGAAAACAAATGCTAATATAGACAGTGCGATACTACCTTCATCTGCTTCTCTAATATCTCAGATGACGACGGCGTCTCTGACCTCTTTGAATAACATAGTTCATCCAGCCGCATCAATGCCGAATGGTATTAAAACCTCATACGCTGGCACCATTCCTACGCAAACAGGAAGTGCTGTTGCTTCTACAATGGCCTCCCCGTCTAAACCTCCATTGATAAATGCTGTTTCCGATGAGATTAAAAGGGAGACTTCCAATACTGGGAACGAACACAAAGCAACGAACATTAATGCTGAATCTGTTGTCGCTGAAGATACAAATAATAAACTAAGCGTTGTAAGTACGCCCACTACCTCAACGAGTGCTGGTAACTTTTTAGGACAAAAACTGAAAGCTGCTCAAGTGGAAAGTGTCAACGATCCGGGAAATGATTGCAACTCAGATGTTAGGTAAGTTGCGATAACTCTTGTTCTTTTATTCTTGCTTTTGTCGTTTAAATTGTAAGTTATAAAAACGCCGTTAATGTGTCGTGCCACATTAGAAATGTACTCGTTTTATGAAATATTAACCTAGTGTATGAGAGGTACATATGTATGCTGATATTGGGATACTTAAATAATTAAGTTAAGGTCGAATAGATTCACTATTTTTGTAATAAATGTTGACAATTTCTCTGCGCTGTGTGCCTGTGCATGTTTTTATGCCGATTTGTCAAATAGCACTAAACACAAGCGACAATTTTGTGGGGATATGAAAAAGAACATGATGACGAGTGTTGTGAAGCTATATAGTACTTTTAGAAGGTTGCGTTGATTTTAACAGTTTTTTCATTTCAAAAAGGCATTTATTGTGGAAATTGGTTCAATATACATTAATCAAAATAGTTTCCATCATTTTCTACAATATTTTATTTTTGGCAACATGGTGAAGAACTTATGTCGAAAAAACTTATATTGATGTGGCAGCGATGCATCCACCGATCCATTTTCGCACTTCTTTAACAAGTGGTAATCAGGAGGTGCCATATCTTGTGAGCACGCTGGATGTGACAGAAGTTTCTATACGAACTGCAATAGTGTATCCTTGACAAATCTTGCAATAATTGGCCAAAAAATGACATTTTCAGTCAAGTTGCGTCGCCACTTTTAAACCGTTGGATCCAAAAACGAAATTTGGGATATGATGATGCAGCAGATTTTTTCAAATAAACAACAAAAGTAATGAATTTGGAAGAAGAAAAATCTTGAGCGCTGCATGGTTACCATCGGTGCGCGCGAAATAAATCACTAATATTAAAAGGAAAATTGTTATTTTATGTAGAGGAAGAGAGAGGAAAACTTGTTTATTAAAATTAACAGAACCTCCTAACAATTTAGTATGGTTGATTTGATTTGAAATTATAGAGAAACAGAGAGTTTTTCATAACAATGTCCAAATAATTATGCGGTGTATGAGGTTTTAATTGATTTACCAGAGTAAGTGGTTAGTTTGCTTACTTTTCTTTATCGGTTTTAGGAAAAATTTCATCATATGCTCTCATTTTGTTGGAAACGACTTATTATAACCAACTGAATAGTATTGTGCATCTACGTTATTTTACAAACTCAAGTTTACCCATAGATCTCATTTGCTAACACCACTCACCCATTACTTTTTTTGTTATTGCTCTTATTTTTTTCTTCCTAATGAAATATTTCTTCAACGTTTTACTACACGTTTTAATTTGAGCTCTTGCCAGAAAATAAAGCTTGACTTATAAATAGATGTTATAGCAAGTTCATCTCAATTCCCCTCCTTCTGATGTTTTTAACTATCAAGAAGAATAATTCGAATAAAAAGGATGAGTCCTAATGGACTCATGTTTTTGTCTAACTGAATGTTCCACGCTCCATTCTTCTTTTGTTAATTTTATATGAGAGGACCCCCTACAGAACATTCTGCTTACTGTATTGTGTTAAGAGACAACTTCCATAGTAATCCAAACCTCTTCGCTATGCTTTTTTGCCGATTAGCTTTAGATTTCGACCACTGTTCTTCTTCGCCGATGATGTCTTACAATGTTTTCCCCATGCTGCTATTACCGTTGATATTCTGTCGTTCGTGAAACGTTAAACAATTCAGCTGTTATCGTCAGAGACTCTCCTGATAATCAAACATTTTCTATATATCCTCCCCCGAAGGCTAAGTGGTCATACATTTCGCCGATCGTCGGTTATGTTCAATAGATTAACAAAGCGAGTAAAGCGCTGGAATATAATGGACATGTAAACTGCCCTATATATATGGAAGTAGTGTTGGCAACATACGACCAGATGGTATTATATTGCATACTCTTCATATAATTTTGTCCATATCCTATAGCTAAGGGACGTATATTTAAGGCAATCTAAACCCTAATATTAGCATGTTTCTTATAACTTCTAGTAATATTTCTTGATTGTTTTTCTTTGTATATTGAATTCATCTATATATCCACAATATCCACATACAAGCACAATCCATATGTTTATGGAAATGCAATATGAAATTTAAAATTCGTGAACAGAAATTAAAAAAAAAAAACTGAACGAAAATTTTGTGTAATTAAATAGAAATCTAATCTGCTTGGTTTTTTCTCATTTTTATACAAACAGTGAGTCCAAAAGAAAGCGTCTTGATAGCGTATCGACGGTTGCTTCATCAGCCATCGCAAGTTCTCAACAAATGTTATCTGTTAGTAGCAGTAGTAACAGCGATGGCAGCAACAATAATAACAACGGCAATAGTAGTAGCGTGAGCAGTACTAAGAATTTTCCAACAAGCTCTGTCAACAGTAGTGTATCCGCTATATTGATGACTACGTCGAACACAAATGTTAACTTTACCGCCAGTGTTACAACAGAATCAGCCACCTCAACAACCTTTACTGGCAATATGTGTTCATCTATAGTAACATCAAATATCACTTTATTTAGCAACAATGACGGCAATGCAATCGACGGTAAAGGTAAGCCAACAGCATATATAAAGTAAAACTTTCTTTAGGCGCCTTTATTTATAAAGTTTCTGGAGGAAAACATTGTTGATAATATTAATCACTAATTGGCCTGAATATAGAAGTGTTTATAATCTTTCTTCTTTCCTTAATTCTAAAACCACTTATTGTGAAGCATGTGAATTGCCTTTAATGAGATGCTTTTATTTTTTCATGCAAGGGTTTCGCTTCAGTTGCCGTAATAAAATTGTTGGCAGTTATCACAATTAATATACCTAAAGTGTCATTACATAATTTATATTAACTTGCTCTGGTTAAGCAACAGGAAAGTAAACAGGAAATTATTTTCTGCGTAGACCAAGCTTTTTAATATCCGTCACTTGCTTGACTCGCTTTCTAGTCCACAAATAAACTCTAAAATTGAACGGAGAGTATTTCATCAAAACAAGACAACTCTAAATTTAATTGCAAATATCCTATTATATGAATGTAGCGTAACGTATGTACCCAAATAACGGTAAATCTAATCTATTATAGTAACGTTATATACTGAAATTGTAACATACACACAACTGTTTTGCCCGAAATGACAAATGCCTAGCATAATTCAGCTGAAGAGCAATACATATCAAATAATATGCTTGGTTTACCAAAGTAATTGAAAGGTTATTTTCATCGATGACTGAATCTAGTTAAATAGATGTTAAATTATCGCGCACGAACCAATAACTTAAATTGTTAGGAATGAGAAAGGGAAATTTTAGATAAATCTCAATATGTGAGGCAAGGCAGACAGGTTTTCAGATCTTCATGTCTTTGATAAAGATAAGAAGGTATCCAGCTGATAGGAAATTGTTCGGTTTTGCGTAAATTGTATATATATTTAAATTGAATATATATATATATATATATATTCATATATTCATTATTCTATATAAATATTCATCATTTCTAGAACATGCATGGTATAAATTTCATGAAAACATTCAAATACATCGAAGACGTATTAAATTTTTCAATGGATAGAGTCTCAATCTTACGGTTCCAGAAGGTAACATCGGTGGGCATCGTTAATCAATCTTATTTTCACATTATTGCTATGTTACAAACGCAGTACGAAAGTGGCAAGGTATCAAAAGAAGTAATTGGTTCAACATTCTTTTTATTTACTCGTTTTGGTGGATATATTAATATTATAACGTATAATTTTTAATTTTTTGAGGAGAATTTATATTTAATGTAAAATCGTTTTTTTTTTGCAAAAATTTGTCGGTTGCTCTATGATAGCCCGGCTACTGTCATCTTTTGAATGTCTCAATGAATAATTGATGGGTTATAAAGCAGAAATATAACGAAAAAAAAAATAAATGAAAAAAGGAGAACAACAACAGTATTTACATAAGGCCCCTTAAGCTCTGGCAAGTACTCTTACTCGGTTCGTTACTGAATGCTGATGATGAAATTTTACAAACGGTGGGTGGATGCGCTGGTCAAATGGGCGTATGGTTGAATTGACAAAAGGGTTTACACTATACATACATAAACACCTGGCTCTGCTCTGTTACTGTGGATTCGTTCGTTTTTTGCTCTGCTTTTTTTCCTGCTCATACCAAGTTTCGGTGCTTGAGAATATGTTTGAGTTTGTTTCGTTCATTTGTCTCCCTAGTGAGTTAATTAAACTCAATTAAATTAATTTTTTCGTTGTTGTTGGTGTGCATGCCTGTCATTTCTGATGATGTTTTTACGCTTTTTGCTGCCTGAGTTTTTTCTGGTGATTTTTTATTGTGATTTTTAAAAAAAAATTTTTAATTTATTAATATTAAAACAAACACTTTGTCATTTTGTTAATATAATGAAAATTATATTAATGCTGACTTTTCAAATACGCACGAGTATCCTTTCGGTAACATGCCAATTAGCTTTTTATAAGAGACATTTAAAAAATTTAATAAAAGCATTCCTTTTTTTGAACAACTAAAAATTCCGCCAAAAATTTCGACGAACCAGATTAGTGCAAACGATTTTTAAGTAATAGAATCAAAGCAAGTAATAAACCATGTAAGCTTCTTACGTATTGGAGTAGAAAAAAAAAACAAAGCTGTAATGTTGTCATTGACTTTGTTATTGCAAAAATATGAATTAATGCTATCTTTCCCGAAGAAACTCCTTCAAAATATATTTGAGATATATCCAAAGTAATGTTGATCCGCACTTGGTTCACGTAACTGCAAAATTCATATTGTGCTTTGTTAGGGGAAATATATTATTGAGCTATCCCTGGATTATTTTCATCCCTTGCAAACATTTTTTAGATCTTATCCAAAATTACGTTCAAAATTGCAAAATCGAGAATAAAATGACGAAAACTTAGCTCATTTATTTCGGGGCTATGGCCTTTATCTGCTGTAACCAGTTTTAGTAAAGATTTTCAAAGCGCATTGACCTGTTATCAACGGATATTTGTATTTTTTTTCAGACTGTTATTGCATCCTGGCAGATTGTCACGTTATCGAACTTGTAACAAATAAATATGGGAACTCCATTTGTGAAATAATTTAAATTACAAATTTAGATAATATCAAACATTAATTAACTATTTTAAATGTTAAGAAGTCTCAGAATGTCCTCTAAATGTAAAATTGTGATAGTTCGTGACATTTAGAGCTTCATTGAACATTTAATTTTTAATTAATAACATATATTTTCAATGCAAGACACACTCCATTTGGTGCTTCTAATTCCACTTAGAGGTTCGAAGTACGCTTATTATGTTAATCTGTTCGTAATACTAACCAATTGTTGCCTTGATGCGAACATATTTTAAACGGCCTGTGTGCATAAATCATACCTTTCCTTCTGCAAAACCTCCTAGAATGATACAATAGATCTATGTCATAGTAGGATATGTTAGGGCTTTGCGAATATATGTGGCTATAGAAACTAAAAACGTGAAGCGCAGTCCCATAAAATGAAAACAAATATACTTTCAGGAATATCTTATGGCTGGTATAGGATATGTGTTAAGATTTACACAAGGCATGCAATTATTTTTTTATTAAAATTTGTCCCTTTTGAAGTACAAAAACTTTGCTTGTAATAAAATGCAATCCCATCGTTAATTGAGAAATTGTCTTACCAAGTTTAATGTACACTGCACTATTAAGTGCAAGATGTAATAATTGTCAAACGATTCCTATCATTATAATTACTTTGATTTTTTTATTTAAATTTATGCATCGTTTTAGTCTACATACATATTTGTATATATTTTCTAAGGATAAATGTCGATATGCAAGCGTTTTTGATTATTTTGATATCATTGTTAATTTATAAAAAGCATCTAAAGTTTGCTTTCGCACGGATTCCTTTTTGAAATGATCCGTTCAAATAGTGCTGCTGGCGTTACCACTCTCAGTGATAGGCTGATTATCGTCTTTTATTGTTGTAGATGCTGCTGCTGGGCATGGTAACGCATTAACAGAATTAGAATTGTTTCTTAAATTGCTAGTGTTTGCTACTAACAATGTTTGAGCTTCTTCGTCGGGATGGCACATCTTCCTATGTTTGTGAACGAAATAATAACTAGGAAATTTGCTACCACACGTTTTGCATGGATAGTATTGTACATTCATGTCAAGAGGTCGTACTTCGCGTCTCAGGAATTCCGAATTTTCTAACGTTCCCAATTTTTGTTGATGATGATAATGTTGTTGCTGGGGTGATAAATGCAGATTTCTGGGTTCGTTTCGTAAGAGTAGGGATCGACTATTGTTATTGTGTAACATTTTTGTTGTATCTTTAATTAAGTCATTATTGCTGGTTTTATTGTTTGTTTCTGAAGATTGGGGTTCTCTTTGATCAGTAGCACACGATGCCTGCAACGTTAATGGGTTTAAGTGTCGTTTTGCGTGCTTCTGATAACAATATTGAGATTTGAAAGTGTGATTGCAATATACGCATACGAAAACATCATTCTGCAGTTTACGATTTAAAACTGATGCTTTGCCGCTACCGCTAGAAGCTTCACTATTTTCAGATTCTTCTCCATGATGAAGATGGTGATGTTGTTGACTAATTGTTTTGGCCATTTGCTGATGGAAAGATAATGAAACACTTTGAAGTGAACGTTCGTGGTATGATTGAGGGCCGACATCGCTAGCGCCGGATGTACGAGTCGAAAGATCTGGTTTTTGAACATAGGCGGTATTAAGTATACGTTTGAAACGCACTGGCCCATCACAACTGGCTACATCAACAATAACCTTATTAGCTTCAGCGGTATCCAGTTGGGAGGCTGGTATGGGTGCTTTAGCAATTTGCAGCCCTGAAGAGGAATAGTTTTTTTTTAGATGTTTATTTCGCTGACGTCTATCATATTTATAGTTTTTCTTATTATGGATAACCGTTAAGCGATCCCTTGTATGTTTATTATTTTTTTTGCCTTTGTCGATGTCATTAATTGATCGGGGTAAATTTGCTTTAATACTCCTTTTTAAATTTAACTTTTGCACTTTCATTTCTGTAATATCTGTTTCCGAATTGCTGTCAATAAAAACGTCTTCATCCTCTCCATCAGGATTAAGGGCTTTTAAGGATTGTTTATCAATTTCATCTACTTCTATGTCTTCATCGCCATCTTTGTCGTTGCTCTCATTTATAGTCGGGGAATGATGGTCAACAGATTTATCATCCAATTGTGATGATATAAAGGAACTCATTGTTAGCCGCACTGGTAAACCAACAGTTATTGGGGGTGTGTTTAAGGGTAAAAACCCAAAGCTTGTTATGGACGGCTTACTGGCAATTGGCCTTATAATTTTGCCATTGTTTACAATATTATTGTATAGAGTAGATGAAGGGGAGTTGGCCGTCATATTAGGCGGTAAATTGTTAGTGGTTACTGGAAAATAGTCTTCCCTCTGCACCCGTGCCAAATATGATCTAGAAAAGGAATGGGAGTTTTGGAAATTGTTTTTCATTTGTTTTTTAATATTTGCGCATGCAAAAAACGATTTTTCACAATGTGTTTATAACTTTTAATCTAGGTTAACGCACCTACAAATTTCCAGAGCTCTAGGCATATGCAAAACGTGCGTAGCCAAAAGAATACCGAAAATATTTTCAACATTTAAATCTAAATACCCCGTATACATGTAGCTTAACAAAGGAGCGAATTGCTCCGGTGTTACATTGTTTAAATATAAAACAATATCAGTAGAATTATGAGTGTGCTCGTCCAAACGGATGGCTGAACGTAAATATCCACTGTGTAAACCCAAAACTACACTATGGGCTACAAAACGAACTAGTGATGGTCCTGAACCAACTTCCAAAATCACGTTTGGGGTTGAGGATATAATATTAGTATGTAAAGGTGATAAAGTGTTTGTATTTGATCGACCATGTGTGTTTGCAAAATGTATGTTATCCATCGGTGGATGGGCAGACGAATTAGACGTAGAATTAAAAGTTGTACTAGCAGCGCCACTAGTCCCTGTTAACCAATTAGTAAACATTTTTTATTTGAACTTTTATATACTTGTATATATTTAACAATTCCTTAATTTTCACATCCGAACATGAATTCTTAGAGGCCGTTTTTACACTTGTTAACCGTTCGATAAATCACTTACAACTGACTTCGGTCAATCATACCTTTATGCTTATTTATACAATCATATTCTCACTCAGGATGTAGCAATGAAATTTTTCTATGAACACTTTATTTTTCATTCCTGTTTTAATGAATGGCTAATTGATAATGTCCTTTGAACATATCAGCGTCGTGAAACAAGGTACGGATGAAACTTGAAACGTTAATTTAAGTGAATGTTGACAAATGCGAACTTTCTCTGCATTTTGCCTGGAATTCTCTTCACTTCAATCGGTGGCAGAATAATAGTCGTGAAAATTTTATTTTAAAAAGAAAAAAAATTCAAAAAATAATTGAAACTTTAATCTATCGTAAAAGTCGAAATTGAATAAAACAAAAATACAAAAAAAAAAAAAAAAATTAGAAAACTATATTGAACTAGAGTCGAATTTTCTATGCCTACCACTTTTATATTTATATAGTATATGCAAATATTTATTGTTGAAGCTTATGAGTAACCAGAAAAAGATCCACTGTTTTTTGCTTTCGAAAACGGGGGTGCTCTCACTTTACTGTAGTGTGGGTGTACTCCTTAAAACATTTGGCCCATTTGTAATAACACATTACGTGCAAAAACTTTCAGTGTTCGCGCCAAATTTGAAGCTGATGATTTCATTTTTGCAAACAGGAGAATGTTTACCACAGAGAAAAAGAGACACACAGACAGATGGACGTGCGTAAATCGCTTCAAAATTTGAAGTTGACCAAGACTATACATAATTTAGGGAATCTCTGCGGCTTCCTTGTGGATGTTGAACAAATGAATATAGCCTCCTCCTTCTATTCTGCATTAATTCAGGTATGTTCGTCCGCCTGTCTGTTTGTTTGTATAATGTTTGTGGTAAACATTCTCCTGGTTGCAAAAATGGAATTGGTTTCAAATTCGGCAAAAATATTGGAAATCATTACAAGCATGTTCGTATCGAAAATCGGTGAAAACTGTGAAATCACATGCCCGTAGCACGTGAACTAAGAACATCTCTATTTTTTAAGGCAAATAAATTATGGTTTTTAGCTATTGCTCATATCTTAAGATAGGTTTAGTGATCAAAATTTTTACTCAATAGTATCGAAATTTCATTTTTTATGTGTTATTTTTTTTAAGGAATTGTTGTACAAATAAAAGAACATGATTGTTTTATTTGGTTAAAATTCGAGAAAACGTTTGTACCAAAATTTAAACCAAAATCTACAAAATATATCTTATATATAAAATTTATATAATAAAATTTATATAATAATTTTTTATATACAAAATGTATTTTGTAAAGGCCTGCCGTAAGTAGCGAGGTTCAAACTTAATCCTTAGCCATTGGTATATGGGCGAGCCTTAGCTTATTTCTCTATAAATAAGCTTTCCAATTAGACCACTTTTTGTCGAAAAATGTTAAAAATAGGGAATTTGGTCGTATAACAGCCATTTCGAAATAAGCTCTCATGTCACCTGATTCAATGCACTTTCAATAGCTTCGCTCTAGAAACAAAAAAATTTCAACATACAAAATTTCGTTAAAATATTACAACTTGTAAGATAAGTGCAAAAATACATAGATAGACATGTTTAAATCGCTCTGGAATCCACTGGTATAATAAAGGGTGACACTATCTCATGTCCTTCCGGCTCATGCAAATATATGAAGAAATTTTATATATCCTTGCACGCATTTGCTCAATTCTAAAAAACGAAAGAACTGATGCGTCCAATATTTAACCAAAGTAAAAAAAAACGGCAAAATTCGCCTCCAGGATTGACAACGGTTTACAATTTAACGCGAGTATTAAAATTAGGCAAAAATTGGACGTAAAAGTAATTCCGACTGCCTATCTGACATATCTATAATTAGCAAGAGCCGTATATTTCTCCAAATGGTCTATGTGCGGAATTTTAAACTACATTTTTCGCTTTTAATTATATGTCAATTTACCGAAATCTACACACCCGCTCAGATTATGGAAATTTAACTCTCAAAAACACTCCGAGGTGAGATTGGTTTTAAGGGGAAAAGTAAGGTAACATGTGATTTGTGGTTTTATAGCTTTGGGATTTCTCGATTGACATTTAGTTCAAGTGTCAAATTTTACAAGTGTTTCTTTTCCGTTTAACTATTTTGATTAAAGCTGATTTGATTTGTTATAGAATTTTTAATTTTCTCCTAAATATTTATACGAAAAACTTTTCATTCGTCTTTATCTATTAAAATTTAAATGTTAACTTTGAGAGATTTTAGTAAACTGTTGCTTCTTTGTTTTGTTGATTTGTTGTGGGATGGGTAAATACAATATAGAAGACGACCAAAATGGTTATGTATATTGCCGAAAAATATTTCGTTTTGTAGAACAAATTCGGATTAGGGAGGCACACCGATTCAAAGCACCAATCTAAAATAATAGGAGGGTCTTGTGCCATCTGCAAACCTTAAGCCAAAGAATCATTTTTTCTTTGCTGACGAGGTTTTAGAATTTATAGCAAAAACCTACCGAGCTATAAATTGCTTTAAATTTTTACGATGGAGGAATAAGGGAACAATTGCTTCAGTGAGTAGTTTTCGGTTATATGTTATTTTTTAAATAACTAGCTGCTTCTGTAGTGGTTAATATTTAAATATCATTCCTCATTATATATAAAATATTTATTAATGGTAAAACGCAAAGGCAAAAATTGTGCACTTTCTTTTGGTGTTCAATGTATGTATGCGCAGAGTACGTTTTCATTCTAATATCTTTTTTTTCTTTACTCTTAACATATGTTTCGTTTCATTCGTTCCACATTTTTACTCTTAAATCCTAACGCTCATTTCATCACTAGCACGTGTTTTGCATTCAATATTATCTTAATTTTGCACCAAATTACTCATATTTCTAATTGAGAAAATTTATGAATTATTGAAAAACCGCAAAAATCTCTTGATTCAAAACTCATAGAATGTAAATACTCTACGTGCTTTCAGTGACAAGGGTTCTGTGCTTTCTAGCAAGAGATATCCCGTAACATTTCTCTTGTATGCAATTTCATTTATTTGCATTTCGCTCTGTTCGGCATTTTTGTTTTGTTGTCATCCCTTCGTGTGTACGGTTGCTGTTCGTTATAACGTAGGTATTTGCTGCGTGAATCATGCGCTGCAATATTATCAATTCATTGTGAAAGCAACAAATCCGCAGGCCCGGTTATTATTACCTTTATTGTTGAATATTAACGCAATAATTGTAGTTTTGTTATATGAGAAAGAGAAGGAGTCCAAAGAATCTATTGCTTTCTTTTTATATTTGTATTCACTTTTCAAAATTCTGACTTTTACAAATGTTCTCATTTTGTTTATAATACATAACCACAACTAATTCGTGATGTATTCATTTACCCTTGGACGAATTTACGAATTGCGCGTGTCTACATGCAACGAACTATTACTGTACTAGTGTGCTATGGCGGTGCTATATATACTATAAGTGTCTAAAATCGGACAAAACTTTTTTTCTATACGCAAACGCACGTACCGATCCCACCAAAACAGTCAAACGAGTAAAGTGAGTTTACAACCAATTAAGAGACGGAAGCGTTGATCTGCCCGCTGTGTTCCCGATTTTTCTTTTTGAGATTGAAAATAAAAAGGCATATGTCATTTTTGAACAGAGTAAATCAAAATTTAAATGCGTCAAAAATTGATTCTCTCTTCTTTTCTCTTCTTATTTGGCCACAAATATCATAGACATTCTCTGCATATATTTCTTAAGAGAAGCGAAAGGTCTACAGCTGGCCACGAACCATGTTGAGCAAAGCAAAATCATCTTGAGACACACATTATCCGCAATACAATTTTCAGGATATTTTGCTAGTTATATCTACATTGTAGGTACTTAAGCTACTTTTAGGGGTTGATTGCGACCATATTCAAACTCGATTAGTATCATTTGGACAACTGATAGCGCCTACAAAAATAAAGCCAGAAATAAGTAAATGAGAAGATGTTCCATCATTTTGTTCAAAATTCAAGTTAGGAGATTATTACGGGCTTTTTCTGTTAATTACAGAAGCAATTAGTAGTCATTTAACAGCTTACTCCTTCATTCTCGTTATTTGTATTGTCAAAAATTTTGTTAGTAGTTTTTTGATATGACGTCTCTCAAACGTTCGCAAATCAGAATCATATAAAATTCTGTTTTTAAGTGAATATCTGCTAAGGTATATATAAAGTGTATATGTACCAAAAAGATAGCTAGTAAGTAGATATTCATCCTTTATTTGGAATTGAAGATTTCTAAATTTTATATTTCCGATTTGCTTCAATAAATATCAATAAAAATTTGCTACGAATAATTTCAAGTCTTTATAGAATATTCTAGAGTGCATTCTACAATACAATAACACATATACAATGTGGAAAATTGCAGCAATATGTCAAATATATGTGTAAGAGAATAAAATTAACATAAGCAAGTGATAAATTGTTCCTACAACATAGATAATAGAAAACTTCTCCGTATTTCTTGATATGAAAATTTTTACCGAAATTCTTTGAAGCATTTGACGAACATAAAATTTAGAGTTTTTCAATGTAAAATAAACGATGAAAAGAGAATAAATTATATTTGCTACATACAAACCTAATGTTTGGTTTTTTCTCGTACATATACACTTTCACAGGTGAACAGAAAGAACAGAAGGTGCGAGGTGTATTTTTCAGTTCTAGATAAAAGAAATTGTAAAAGGTAGCTGCCATAAAGCGCACGCAACGTTTTTATGTGCCGCAACAGTATTCAAAATTAATTCGGGGAATCCCACGTGAGCCCAGATTGCCCAAGTAAAAAGTTGTGCTTGTTGCTTTAGTAGCTTTTTCAGTTGGACAGTGAAATAAGTGCATCCTTCTTAAAATTGTGAAGAGTAAATTGCTTTGTAATATTTTTCCGTAAAAGCGGATCATTAAGGTATATGTTATTTCTTTAAAAGGAAATGAAATATGTATTCATTCTTATAATAATATTAGATGGGGCGAGTACATCATCGTGGAGAAAAGGAGAATAATTAGTTCATTTGCGAAGAAACCAGCGAAAAGCGTACAAATTTATTACTGTAGCACTAGGTTGGTCACAAAACTTCATTGCGAATGCTTTGAATCCCCAAAAGAAGTACTGAAATGCGCGGAGCTTTCTGCTTCCGATAACCGCAGGACAATTTTGGTAAAGCGAGATCCCTTCAAGTCGTCTAGAGCAATTGCCAATGGAATTGGAAATATTGGATCATCCCGAACTATTCGTTGAGGATTATTAAGTGCCAATCTACCAGGAACTCGCAAAGCCTCTTTGCGTAGAAAAGTTAATTTAAAGAAGAGGAC